GATGACAAGGAATGGCTGAGAGGGGAGGGGTCAGGTGAGGGACCCCTTAATGTGAGTGACACTGAGTTGGCCATGCCCACCCAGTCACATGACCACCAAGCCATGCCCACCCAGCCACATGACCACCAAGCACATCCACCTAGTCACATGACCACTAAGCCACACCCACCCAGTCACATGACCACCAAGCCACGCCCACCAAATAAGCCACGCCCACAGAACCGGTAGTAAAAAGTTTGGAATTCCACCACTGATTGGAACACTTCTATCATGTCTCCCCTGGTCCTTTTCTTCACTCGATTATCCATGCCAAGTACTTCATTGTATGTTTTAGCCTCCAGTCCCCTAATCATCCTGGTTGCTCTTCTCTGCACTTTTTCTAGAATCTCAACATCTTTTCTATAGTGCGGTGACCAAAACTGGATGCCGTATTCTAGGTGTACTCTTACTAAGGCTTATTAGTACCTCACTTGATCTTGATTCTATCCCTCTGTTAATGCAACTTAGGATTCCATTGACTTTTTTAGCTGCCGCCGCACACTGTTGCTCATATTTAATTGGTTGTCCACTAAAACTCCAAGATCCCTCTCACAGTTACTGCTATTAAGCCTGGTTTCAATCAGTCTATATGTGCACTTTTGGTTTTTCTTGCCTAAGTGTAAGACTTTACTTTTCTCTAAATTGAATTTCATTTTGCTAGATAGGGCCCAGTGTTCAAGTTTGTCAAGATCCATCTGGATCTTGAGCCTTTAGTTAGCAAACTAGTTAGTCTAACTCTAGTTAGCCTCTAGTTAGCAAACAGCTAAATGTTTATGGAGATTCTCAGTCACCCAGGTCATGGTTGTCCCAAATATGCTTTTTCAAATGGCAAGGGGACTTTCTTGGTTCTGCTTGAAGATGTTTCATTTCCCATCCCTAGACTTCCTGAAAAAGCACCTTTGGGACAGTTAATGAACAGGTTACTTGAATTTGAGTTTTAAGTCAAAGTTAGTGCTGTATAGAGGTTTTGACATACCAGTAACTCTGCATGTGTTTATTTTGATGCTACATGGTTTGCTTAGACCAGGGTCTCAAACTTGACAGCTTTAAGACTTGTGGACTTCAACTCCAAGAATTGCTCCTCCAGTCATGTTAGCTCAGGAATTCTGGGAGTTGAAGTCCACAAGCCTTAAACTTGCCAAGTTTGAAGATCCTTGGCTTAGACATATACCCAAACATTGGCTGTCAGATTGTACTGGTCAAGATATCTAATTGAGAGAAGTTAGCAAAGGGAAAACTAACAAAATATCTTATTGTATTTCAGGTATCTCGATCACTGAACAGAAATGGTGACCTGTGCTTTCCTCTATTAATTAAACTGAAGCAAATTTCTCAGTGAGAAATCTAGCTCTCAAATTATAACACCACCAGTAAACTCAAGAGATTATTTGTCAGGCTGCTTTGGGAAAGAACATGAACTTCAGAGTGCCAGAATACTGTAAAAACAGTTATTAACTTTAGTTTTCAGCAGCTTTTTATTTCCTTTTCAGTGCTCGGGCACTGCCTATCTTTCTTTTAGTTGTAAAAAGGTATATGAACATTTAGTAGCAGTTTTGAAGGACAGCTTAGAAGCACATATGAAGCTCTTTGAATTTGCTTTGAGACCCTCTATGTCAGGGTGTCAAACTCACGGCCTGCAGGCCGGATGCATCATGTGCTGGCCAAACCCACCCCGGTTTACGAAGGGGGAAAAAGTTGCGATATGTAACATGACGACAATGTGCTGCCGTGAGTTTGACACCCCGCTCTATGTGGCTCCATAGGATGCATATGTAACTAATCAAAGACCTTGAAAAATCACAATTTGTTCACAAGAAACTATGAACCCATAACTCTTTAATTACATTGTAACATCCTCTTCACTCACAGTATGATCCTCAGTTGGATCAGACTGCCTATGACATTCAGCCAAATAAAAAGAACAACGAGTAGAAGAAATATCTGGTGCCAGAAGAGGAATGGGGAAAATTTCAACGCTGACAGAAGACACCCAGCCATCTTTGAGTCTATCTAAAAAGCTATGGGCAGCAAATTCATTATGTAAGGCAAAAGACAAAATGGAAAAAAATGCTACATGGTTACTTAAAATATAATATAGAATCTTACACTATATTCTGAAAAGCATAGTACCGTCTTTCCCCTACCTATCCTGAAAATTAGCCCTAACTTGATTTATGTTTGCACCTAATATATGCCCTATCCAGGGGTGGGATCCGAAGGGTTAACTACCGGTTCAGTGATTTATGATTTGCTTCCCTGCACGCTGCGCATCTTCGTCAGCTTGCTGCCTGGACAGCTGAGCAGCGCTGCGTGCAGGGAAGCAGCATTTGAAAAAGCACTTTTTTCCCGCTTTTTCAACCTCAGCTGTGCCTCGCAAGGCAGCTGAGGTTGAAAAACCAGGAAATAAAGATCAGGTAAGAGCCCGGGCACACAGGTGGGCCAAAACATCAGCAGCCATAGAAACGGTTCTATGTCTGCTGCTCTTCAGAGCTACCGGTTCTACAGAGCTGGACAGAACCGGTAGAATCCCACCCCTGGCCCTATCGCCAAAATAAGTCCTAATTAAGACCCTACCCACTTCATCCCACTGTCTGGTTGTATGAGGTGGGATGAGGCACATGCATAAAAATCAAACTGGGGGAGTGGAGCTGCCCCACGTGTCCTGCACCTTAGGACCACCGCAGCCAGACACGACAGGTGTCAGGGCGTGAAGCAGTGGCATCTGGCTGCGGTGATCCTAAGGTGATTAAGACATCTCCCCAAAATAAGACCTGGTGTTTATTTTGGGGCCCAAAAGAAAATAAGACTGGGTCTTATTTTTGGGGAAACACAGTATGTAGCAAGTTTGCTGCACTTGATCAAATTTGGGCCTGCAAATTCTATGTCCACTGTAGGAGATTTGGGGACCTAAGTTAATCTTCCCAGGGAAAAGAAAACATTAGCTCTGATATATGGCATCACACTGGGCAACTATTCCATTACAAAAAGACTGTTCCAGGAAAATTACACTATCAGTTTAGCCACAGAACAATTAGGAAACCAAGAAATGCTGAATAACTTGGGAAAAAATCACTGGGAATAAGAAGAGCTCTACGAAAGCTAAAGAAAGCAATTCCCTGAAATATACTATGGAATAACTGCCTTTCTTTTAAATTCTCATTATCTGTGAAGTCTTGTCCCATTATGTCACAGTCACACTGGCCTTACTGACTTCATAAGGCATGTGGTATGTTATATCCAATGAAATGCCTGGCTGCTTCATCCAATCACATGTATGTTCTGATTTGAGTAAGTCTATTAAGGAGGACTGTACCTTCACCATTCTTTAGGTCGGGGTTTTGTTTTGTTTTTTGGCCACCAAAGCTGTCAGAAGCTCAATTAGTGCTTCAGTGTATTATGTCCAGGACTATACAAATGTATCCCTAAACAAATTCTATTCTATTGTCATTTAGAGTGGAAGGAGAGGAAGCTTTGAAATATAACAACTATGTAAGCAAAATGCCATGTAGATTCGGAGCTCAGAGTTGATAATTATCTTTTAATGAAGGTTGAAAACAACATTCCAGAAGCAGCTGTGCCTAATAAATATCATTCTCTTGGTTGAGGTTCCTGAACTACTTGCTCAAGGATGATTATCTGCACTGGTATCAACACTCTTTCCCCCCAAAGGACACAGGGTCAGCTTATTTGAACAACAGCAATTTGGTACCCTTGAATATCAACGTACCATATAAATCCTGCATTTTCAAAAAAGGCAGCTAGGGTGTCTTGTTTCAGTTGACGGTTATCTCTTTGGTGTGGTTTTGTTTCTGTCTCCTTTGCAACTTCTCACTTCTAATAGGGTCAGCAAATGTGTACTTGTGCCATTTGCCTTTCAGCATTCCCCTTACATCAGAATTATGTAACCTTAGCCATTTCTCTTTGTTTCTTTGTGTACGTAAAAGACCAGTGACTCATTAGAACATGTTCGCCTCTTCTTCTGCTATTGGTGTTATTGGATGAGATTTCCATCACAGTTGTCATACAGATAACATTATACTAGTTATCCAGTACATTTTCAAGTCAGCAACACCCTACTTTCTCACTCTCAACAAAGAAATTGGATATTTGTAGTAGGAGAGTGAACGACAATCACCGTAATGTACATGCTTTCTATTCTTAAACAATGCATAATTGCATATGGAGATTTAACTTTTAAAATTGCTACTGAATCCAAGCCTGTTGGGCTAACATGTGCATCAGAACAAAGGCAACCAATGGACTATACTTCTTGAATATGCTAATTAAATTTTATTAAAAATAAAAAGGTGATATATGTAATCACATTTTTAAATTAGCAAAACATTAATATAAATCATGAAACAGACTCAAGAGAAAACAGTGGTTAGTTAATTTTTCTCATTTTCACCATCCATTTCAGATGGAATTCCAAAAATGACTACGGTAGTCCTCAACTTACAACCATTTGCTTAGTGACTGTTCAAAGTTACAACAGAAAAATGTGACTTATGACCAGTTTTCACACTTAGGACTGTTGTAGCATTCTCATGGTTACATGATCAAAATTCAGGCACTTCCTCAACTGGCATTTATTTATGACAGTTGCACTACCCCTGGTTCATGTGCTCATCATATTAAACCTTCCGACTTCCGACAAACAAAGTCAATGCCAGATTCATTTAAAGATTGCAAGTTTTTTTTTTAACAACTGCAGGGATTTGATTAACAACTGTAGCAATGGAAATTTTGGCTTCAGTTGTGGTTGTAAGTCAAGGACAACCTGTAAATTATCATCGTAAAACAATATAATTAGGAATTGAACAATTATAGCTGGAGTTCTTCAAAATCCAAAACTTAAAACATCAACTCCAATTTCCAGAATCACATTGGATGTTTTTAATATTGTCATAAGGCAAACAAGCCAAACAGAATCAAAGGTAATGTAATGTTTTATTTCACACACCATAAGCTCAATCTTTAACAAGGTGATCAAGATCGAAATAATCATTTGTCCCCAGATTGAGCTTTTGAGCCTTTATGAATTCCTGCAGGTGCTTCTGGACAGATGGCTTCATTAGGAGAATTGATAGCGGAAGATGCTTCATTCGATAGCTGAATACCAAATGGTTCTGCTGTAGCTGTAATCCTTTCCACATTTCCAAGCATGTTCCACTTACACACAGGACATGTTTGGTGCTTTAAAAGCCAGGGATCAACACATATTTTGTGGAAAAGATGCCCACAACGTAAAATACGGGCTACATCTTTAGGCTTGTACATTTCTAAACACACCGCACAGTTGTCTCCATTGGATCCAACTTCTTTGTCATCCTCTTTTAATGTACGAACCTCAAGGCGATTGATGGCTTTAGTAATATCAAGCTCCTGCTGGCATCTCTGTATCAAATTCCTTGTTCTTCGTAGCTTTCCAGCACAATAAAAGGTGCAGTAGGCCACAGCTACAGAGGAAAGAATAAAAATGGTGCCCATATAACGGGTTAACCATGGGTTACAGTGCTTTCCAACATCAATGGTTGCCATCACTTGGATGCCATTCTGAATTAGATGCAGAAGGTCCGTTCCTTTCAGATTGCCAATCATAACAGACACAGGGCCTTCCTTCCCAAAGTTAAGCATGGGAAACACATTGTTACCTGTACCAAGATAATTATAGATGATCACACCAACGGCTCCCTTTTCTGCAGCCACACTTATTTTTTTTGTAAATGAACACTGCCCTCTTATGATGAGGGCTATCCAACACCCTGCATTTCCCGACTTAAAATTTGTTACAGAACTACAGGCATTTTGATGGGGCTCTTCTGCAGCTATCACAATGCCGGACACTTTCTTCAAGGGCGAAGCTTTGGCGAACACTCCGTTTTCTGCAATCTCCCATACAGTCTGATTCCCCACTTGAAATGATATGTTAATATTGGCAATCCAAAAGCTGTCAGCTTGTGAACTCTGCAGGTGGAGCCCAAGACAGATGCCAAGGTATAGAAAGTACAATGGTTTTACCTTTCTTCTTTCAGTGGCAGCCGCAAGTAAGCTCATGCTGACATCTGTTAAGCAGTTCCAGAGCCAATAACTCAAAAGACAACAAAAATCATCAGCACTTCAGAGCTGAATGATATTTCCAGCAAGATACCAAAAACCCATCTCAAAAATTCTGGAGAAACAAGCTGAAGGGTCTGTTTGCAAGTATGTTGCTTAGATAAAGATTTCTTATAGACAGTGACAGTGTTTTTTTTCTCTCTCCCTCCAATGAAGTCATTTATTGTTAAGTAATGAAATTGTGACATCATTAACACTTTTGCCAAGCTGGACTCTTGTGCTTTATCCTATATAAAATTATACTGTTTAAAAACAAATAATTTTTTTGATATAAACACAATTTTCACAAACAGCAAGGTTAAACAGTATAGAAAGGACAATGGACTGAATGTCTTGTCATATAATGTGAACATGCGGAGAGAATGCATAATGTTCTTTCTGTGCCAACTCAGAAAGCTAAAACTGCCCAAAGAGCTGCTGATCCAGTTCTACAGAGGAACTATTGAGTCTGTTATCTGCACCTCTATAACTGTCTGGTTGGGTTCTGCAACCCAACAGGACAGACACAAGACTTCAGAGAGTTATTAGGACTTCAGAAAAAATGATTACTACCAACCTGCCTTCCATTGAGGACCTGTATACTGCATGAGTCAAAAACAGGGCTGTGAAAATATTTACAGATTCCTCACATCAGGACATAACTGTTTCAACTCCTACCCTCAAAACGCTGAAGAGTACTGCACACCAGAACAACTAGACACAAGGACAGTTTTTCCCCAAATGCCATCACTCTGCTAAACAAGCAATTCCCTCAACACTGTCAAACTATTTACTAAGTCTGCATTACTATTACTATTAATCTTCCCATTCTTCCTTTTACCCATCTCTTCCCGCTTACGATTGTATGACTGTAATCTTGTTGCTTGTATCCTAACGATTTTTATTGACTGTTTCCTCCTATGATTTGATTGTTTATTGTACCCTTATTACTATCATTAAGTGTTGTACCTTATGATTCTTGATGAATGTATCTTTTCTTTTATGTACACTGAGAGCATATGCACCAAGACAAATTCCTTGTGTGGCCAATAAAGAATTCTATTCTATTCTAATATTACATTTTAAAGTTCAATAAGCTACCCTTAAAATTGCTTAGCTTTTTAAGATCAAACAAGAACAGTTAACCGTAACCTATGTTAACCTTTAGTTAACAGCATATACGCTAACATACAGCATATAACAATATTGTTCTATAGTTTCCATAAAAACTCATAGACATTTAGTTTTTAGGGTATTTTTTTCTTGAGAAGATGAAGAAATCACACCCAACCTCCCACCCCTAATTTCATAAACATTAAATTAGCAAAATATACAACTGGTAAGATCTGAAAATATTAGGGCTATGCAATTCCTTGCAGAGAAGTGTTTTGGAATGACCAGAGCTGTGTACAAGTGCCTATTCTTAAAATAGTTAAAGTCTGCATTTTTTTTCTCACTCTCAGTGGCTGCTTGGAAACCACTCCCCACCATCTTTGGAAACAAGCATGTACAATGTCTTTTCCTTTGCTAGAAAGAACCAAACAACACAAGCAAAATGGCTGCTCTTCTGAAGCAGCCTTGGAGCTGGAAAAAGATGTGGCTATTTTCTGAAAAAGGTGCTTCATGTGTTCCCTTATCTTCCGGAGCTCCTCTTTGCAAGGAGTTGCAAAGATGAAAATATTGTGTGTGCGTGTGTGTGTGTGTGTGTGTAAAATAAAAAGGCAGGAATGATTCTTTGGTTAGAAATTGAATATTTCTTTCACATATTCTTTTCATGTCTGAAAAGAGGAAGCTTATTTCTATACACACATACTTCCTATATAGCAGCAGAGATTTCTGCCAACTGCTTTTCTTGTTTTCATGAACACACTTTTTTTTTACTGAACAGAAAATAGAGAGGCGTTTGGGAGAATAACAAATTATTGTAAATTGCCCAGATATACTTAAGTGAGATTGATGATGTAGAAATTTAATAAATAAATAAATACTTTCTAGCGGCAAGAAAAATCATAGCAACTAAGCTATTTCAAACCTAAAAATATTAAGTTTTAACCTTCTTCTGCCTTCTTAAGTTCTTTTAGGCTACATGTTTTAACTTAGCCTTGTCCGTTGTAGGTCTTCCAGATGAGTTCCCATTGGGTTTGCTAATGAATGTGGCTACTGACACTAGTTTGGAGGAAATATAACATTTTAACCATTCATATAAAGAAAATATGTGTTTCACTTCTAGAATTATCAAATAATAAATACTGCAATGTAGTAGGACTCATTTTGGAGACGAAGTCGAAGTTTCTCTTGAAAACCCTTCCAACTACCCTTCTTACTGGTACCATGAATATAGAAGAAAGTAATGGCTTCAGTACAATAGAAATGGAAGAGAAACTCCCATAGACTGACACTTTCCATTAGTATGTTCTTACAATTAAGAAATAACCAAAAAAATAAAAACGATAACATTTCAAATAAATTATGACCTATGTTATTTTTAAGAAATTATGTCACTTTTTCAAGATTGGAAATGTGAAGATTGGAAATATGATGTGAGAGTTTTCTATAGTTTTTGGGTTGGAATCTTTGTCTATTGTGTACAGTGAGCGCACCAACCAATATGTTTCCGAATATGTGTAGGTCCTATCCATAATTGTCTGTCCCAAATAGAATTCAGAAGCATCTCTTTTTGGAACTAACATTTTTAATATTGTAGGGATGTGATGGGCAGTAAAATTCAAAAGTCCAATTTTTTTAAGCAATGCTAGTTTTTCGTTATTGCCAAACAACCTATAATATGGGCTTAATTAATATTCTCAAGAGCTACTTTGTAAATGAATTACATATACAAAAAATATGTAAAAACCTATCACCAATGTATTTAAATAAAATGAAGCAAAAATCAACCATTTTTGAGAGTTGCAAATCATACATCAAGGGTTTTAATTTATCACAATGAACTCTTAAAATATTACTTTCCTCCATAGATACACGTATTTGTATCCCTATGTACATCTTATAGAAGTAGCCTGTCTCAGTTGCTTTGGATAATTGTATAAATGAAATAGGGCAAATCCCATGCTTTAGCAATGAGCAGTCAATACATTCTTTGTGGAAGATATGCCTGCAAGTTAAAATCCAGACTATTTCTCTTGGCTTACTTCTAAGCCAACCACACAAGTCTCTTCTGCCAGATCAAATTCATCCTTTTTTTTTTGACTTCCACAATTCAAGAGAATGAACAGCTTTCTGGAGTTCTGATTTCACCATTTGGGTTCTCTGCTCTTCATGTCTTATCATAATCTGCTCTGGAGAACAGTAGAATAAGACATAGACTACAATTATCCTAACAGTAAGTAAAACACAGGGATATATATATATATTCAAGAGCACTGGATTGCTCTCACTCTGATTTGGACAGTTTTCTGGATACCATGTTGAATCAAACAAAGGTGTTGCTTTTGTTTCAGGCTGTTCATCATGACATCAGGACTATCATCTGCATCCTCATGTATCAAAATAATACCTTCTCTTTCTGGAAACAAAGGGTCATAGATAATGATACCAGCCAAATCTTTCTTTGGTTCAATCTTGATTTTCTTTTGAAAAATGCAGATTCTTCTCACAAGAATTGCAGCGCAGTCCCCTTATTTGTTGATACATGGAACCAAATCTCCAGGCTGCAAGCATCTTCACTCTGGAATAATTGACTGCCCCGCCATCCTCTTGGAAGGAAGGTACTTTTCCAAGAAAGCTAGAAGATTGTTTTTTGGCCTGGTCTCTCCAATAAATTGTTAGATTCATGGAATATAGAAAACCACCTGTAACTTTTGCGTAAAACAATTCAATAATAAGGGAAACATCAGGTTGAACATCAGGCTGAACATCAGGTTCCAGCACCACAAAACCATTTTTTCCACAGTTTTTGTGATGCTTCATTCTTCTTTGAACAAATGGCAACAGGAAAATCCAAGTGTTGAGTCACTTGAGAAAGCTACCAAGGTAATACAAAACATTTTAATGTCAAACATCCTGCTGACTATTTAACAAAAAACATGCAGTAAGCTCACAAATATGTTTCTGTAAAATCCTACTTAACTCTATTCTCGTAGGAATTCCTAGCAAAAAGTGAATGCTTTTCACCATTGCTCACAAGTTTTACAACAATAAACTGGAACAGAGCTGCAGTCATTGTGACATCAGAACTAGCTCCATGGGAGAGTCCTTTCAACCCAGCCCATTATAAGAACACAGAAATAGGAATCTTGAGATGTTGGCATTGTTCCTCAATGCTCATGATACTCTTGACTATTATTCTGAATTCCAGCACAGGATAGGAAAGAGAATTATTTGCTATCTAATTGGTTTAGCTGTGTGATTTGTATTCTATCAACAAAATTAGGTTGTCTATAACATGCTTATTGTAATAAGCTTCCTTTTTATTTGACATCTTTGTGGTTTTCTATTGTCTTTATAAACATTTACTAGCCGTAGTCTTTCTTTTCCTTTCTTTTCCCTCCCTTTCTTTTTCTTTTTTCCCTTCTCTTCCCCTTTTCCTTTTTTCGGGGTAGTTGTTCAGAACACAGCCTCAAGCTTTTAGACTTTCACTGTCATTTGCCACTTTTAGCAGTATGGACTGTTTGGGGACAATACAGGAAAACATTGCATCATGTTTAATGTAAAACAACAGCATCTATAGTCTTACCAATTCATTTGGTAGTTGTGGCATATCTTCAATCAGCTTCCAGATTATTGAGGTTACAACTCTTTACACCACCAGCCAAAATTATGGGAGTCCCAACCAATTTGGAAAATACCAGGCTGAGGAAAACCACCTAACACATTAATTGAAAAGGTTTGAGAATCCCATTCAGTACAAGGCAGGGTTGTCTACTTAGACCAGTGTTTCTGAAGCTCAGCAACTTTAAGATGTGTAGATTTCAATGCCCAGAATTCTGCAACTACCAATACTC